ACAACTCCAGTGGTTATTACGGCCCGCCTTCTTACTACCAATCACCCAACCGCCCTCCGTACCAAACCCACCAAACCTATCACCCGCATCAGAACCCATATGATGTTGACTACCAAGTCAACAATGGGTCTGACTACTATCCCTACCATGAAGAACCACCATATGATACCCCGTCTAGAAACTTTGGATATTCTCCATACCAAGATTCTGATGGGGATAATTATTATGAACCTCATGGTGACCAATATGACTATGACCAATTTGGGCCTATGTGCGACGATCAACCTGATCCACTCGTCGAAGAAATCCTAAGATTAGAACAGAAAATCTTCTATTTCGACGAACTTTTATTCCAGAAGGCTCGTGGTACGAACCACCATACTCCCGTGACTACACCTTGTTTGCGGAAGAACAAATTGAAGCAAACAAGGTGGCGATTCGAGAAAGAGCAAAACTTCTTGAATCAGTCCGGAAGGAAAAGGAGTTCGAAAGGAGATTATGCGAAGGATCAGATATGATGCAGAAAATGCTAGATGACTTCCAAAGAGAGAGACTAGAAGCCGAAGCTAAAGCTGATAAACTAGTCAATGATCTTTGTAAGGCTGTTGAACTTAAACGCTCCCTCCAATCTCAAGATCAAATGAGGAAGATTAATGTTCAAAAAGAGGCTCTAGAACCCAAGACCATCCCTGAACCCATCAACCAACAGGTCCTGGTTCTAGAAGATTCACCTAATTCCGCACCATCACAGAAACCCGAGAGCATAACAACTCTCGCTAGGGCTACTGTGGTGATGTTACCTGAATCTCTTCCTAGCCAAGTCCCCACTAGCATAGTTGTACATGAGGTGGAACCAACTGAGGGACCTGACTCAGAACCACCTACGCTCGTTCAAGGAAAGAAGGAGGAGGAAGTTTTGCCTACGGCAATAAACGACCATCTCCTTAATTGTGTTGAAGACACACCTCCAAAGGAACCTGTTTTGGAGGAGATAGAGCCCATTACCTGCCCCCAAGATTCCAATATCCAAGAGTCTGAGGAGGAATCTGTTGACGAGGAAATATTGTTCATGGAAAACCCAAATTCGTCTATAGAAACCTGTGCAAATAATGCTTCACCAGTATATTCAGACCAAACTTTATTTGACTACTTACATGACGGGTGTAACCCGATTTGCCCGGAGGATAGTTGGAGCCAAAAGAGTTGGGATGAACTTCTGGTAAGTGACCTTGAAGACTCTTCCATAGGGGAAAGCACGGTCGTAATCATCAAACCACAAATGGATAGTCAGCCTATTGAAGATAAGGAAGAAATCAATTTCACAATCAAGGCTAACGATGTGGATCTACTGAGGAGACTTCCGCCACCACCCACCTATACCAAGTCTCCTCCATATATCCTGTTGCCACCATGCCGCAGGGAGGAGTCAAGGATCCTGGACCTTGACCGAGCGAAAATTCAAACAGGGTGGCATCAGAAGAGAGTCAGAAGGGCCAAACTTTATGACTCTCGGATCGGAAAGTCGCGGAAAAAGTGGCTAAGGCGTCAAGCTACGGACGTTAAAGAAGCACTTAACGGGAGGCAACCCGTCATTCAAATAATTAAATTATTCAATAATTTTATTTGTTATTTTTGAGTTTCTAGTTGCCACACCAGTTTTGGGGGCAAGAATTTATGTGTTTGTTTAGGAGTGTGCAGATGCCTCATCGTCCTTCTTACCCTACTGTGGACCGTAATGAGGTCCAACTGATTGATGGTGCTTCTAGGACGAGGTTCGATGAGTGGGGACACTCATGGGTGCTACACGAGTCTGTATGTCTAGCTCAAGACACACTGACGGACTATGGCTATGTAGAGGAGATGGAGGCGCTATTTGAGGGGACCAGATGGCAGCGCCTGCTTCAGATGAGGGCAGAGTCTAGCCTACCACTAACCATCGAGTTCTTATGCTCGATATCTGCTGTTCCGGAGATTGAGTCACGATAGATGACTCATAGTTTGATCACTGCTGATACCACATTTGCATTCACTCTTGCGGGCCAGTCGTTTCAGTTGACAGTGAGAGAGATGGCCTTTCGTCTCGGGCTCTACACCCAGGAGGAGACCGAGCAGCCTGAGTTCCACGACAATCCCTTTTGATGTTTCGTTTGATTAGAACTCGAAGGAGAGTTCCAAGCGTTCTGTTGGTGACCTCGGTTTGACCGTCAGTTTGGGGATGGCTAGCGGTGCTGAATTTGAGCTTTGTGCATAGCTTTCTCCACAATGTCATCCAAAAATGGCTAAGGAATTTGGGATCCCTATCAGAGACCATGCTGCGGGGTATGCCATGGAGTTTAACGACCTCTCGGAAGTAGAGATCGGCTACTTGGGAAGCATCATATGTAGTAACGCAAGGAATGAAATGGGCCATCTTTGACAATCTATCCACAACCACCATTACGGAATCCTTGCTTTGTTGAGTTCGGGGTAGCCCGGTAATGAAATCCAGGCTAACATCTTCCCACGGGGCGTACGGGACGGGTAAGAGTAAGTGCATTCCTTGGGGTAAGGCTTGGGACTTTGCAAGTTGACAAGTGTGACATCTCTTGATGAAGTGCTAGACGTCTCTCTCCATTTTGGGCCAGAAGTAATGATCTTTCATCATCAAATAAGTCTTGTTGATCCCGAAATGACCGGCTAGTCCACCACCATGGACCTTGTCTATCAGGGTTTCACGAATGCTGCTCCTCGGGATGCACAGTTGATTACCACGAAAGAGGTAACCATCTTTGATTTGTTAATCTCCATGGGGCCGAGATAAGCATTGGGCATACATCTCCTTGAAATCTTCATCATCATTGTAGAATTCCTACAAAAATTCAAAACCAAGAAGTTTGGTACTAAGTACTGTTAGTAATAAGTGTCTCCGGGACAATGCATCTGCGCCTTTGTTCATGGACCCATTCTTGTGCCTGATGGTGAATGTAAAGGTTTGAATGTATTCAACCCATTTGGCATGACGGGGTCGAAGCTTGTGCTGCCCTTGAATGTACTTCAACACCTCATGGTCGGAGTGAAGGATGAATTCCTTACTCACGAGATAGTGTCGCCAATGCTCAAGAGACCGTACCAACACATAGAATTCTTTGTCGTAGGTAGAATAGCGTCTCCGTGTGTCATTGAGCTTCTCACTGAAGTAGGAAACCGGGTGTCCCTCTTGAGTTAGGACAGCCCCGATGCCAACTTCCGATGCATCACACTCCACCTCGAACAACTTTTCGAAACTGGGCAGGGCCAATACGGGGGCATGCATTAAGCGATCCTTGATTGCTTCGAAGGCTTGTTGGGCTCTCGAGTTCCACTCAAACTTTGGATTCTTTGTCAAGTCCGTGAGGGGGGCTGTGATCGTACTAAAGTCCTTCACAAATCGCCGATAGAAGGATGCAAGGCCATGGAAGCTTCTAACATGCTGCATTGTTGTGGGAACGGGCCAATCTTGTATAGCTTTTGTTTTCTTCTCATCGACTTTGGTCCCTTCATTTGAGATAAATGATATACCCCAGGGTACACCTTCACACATGCCACTAGTATTAAAAGAAATCAAGTGTTTAATGTCTAGGTGTTATGATCCATTTTGGGTTGAATTCATTGATCCATCCCACACCAAAACCCAAACCATGACCTATCTCTCCCAAAACCCAACCTAGTCCGAAATGCTTACAAGCCCAACCCACTCCCACATATCCAAAGTATTTTTACTACTCAAATAAAGCCCTTTTTCCTCTCCCTTGAAGCCCTGGCCGAAATTGAAAGGAAAGGTACAACCCAAAAATAATGTNTCTTGTTGATGATGAATGAATATGTGTTGGCATATCCATCATGGAACACCTTCCGATCAAATAACCAAGGTCGTCCCAATAGAACATGGCAGGCATCCATTGGAATGATATCACACCATATCTCGTCGGAATAACTTCGTCCAATGCTTAATGATACCAAACTCCGGGAATCCACACGTAATCCCTTGCCATGGTTCAACCACTGAATCGTGTATGGCTCGGGTGTGGTGAGGTCTTCAACTTCAGCTTATCTACCAATGTTTTTGAAGCGACGTTGGTACAACTTCCGCTATCCACGATCAAAGTACACACCTTCTTTTGAATAGTGCAACGGGTATGGAAAATGTTTTCCCGCTGTAGTTGGTCATCGGGACTAGCTATGTTACTCAAGGCCCTTCGGAATGACCAAGAGCTCTCCTTCGCCCGCTCCAACACACTCTTCTTCTTCTTCAAGCTCTTCTTCAGCCCATGAGGGACTGATCTCTTCTTCTTCGCATTCAACAACGGCCATTATCTTCTTGTTGGGACATTCATTGGCAAAATGTCCTATGCCTTGGTAACGAAAACATTTGGGAGTCCGGGTGTTTGTTTGGGCTGTTTTGAATGGGGGTGGATTGGCGGACGTAGACGGGATAGAATTGGGTTTGAGTGGGTATTTTGAGCAGGGGTGTTTGGAGTTATCTTTGATGTAGTTGGAGGGGTTTTGGAAAAGGGTGAAGTACGGACAAATGAGGTTTTGTTTCTCTTAAGTTGGGACTCAACTTTGAGAGCCAGCTTAGAGAGCTCTTCAAAGGTATCATAAGGTTGCAGCTCTACTACATTAGCTATTTGAGTGTTTAATCCAAATAGGTAACGTACCAATGTTTTTGAATCGTTTTCGTGAAGATCACATCTCATCAAGAGTTCTTCAAACTCCCGAGTATAGTCTTCAACTGAGCGGGGACCTTGCCTTAGGTGTTGAAGTTTGGAAAAGTTGTCATGTACATATTGTTCGGGCAGGAACTTCTTCTTCAACAAGCTTCTCATCTTGAGCCAAGTCTTCACAGGGGCCTTATTCTCTCGCCTTCTTTTGGTGGATAGGTTGGACCACCAAGTGGAGGCATACTTCCGAAACTTCAATGCCACGATCTTGACCTTTTTTTCTTTGGACACATCTTTGAAGTCAAAGACGTGCTCAACGGTTTCCAACCACTCTAGAAAGTCATCTGGATTGTTCTTTCCTTCAAAGGTTGGTATGTCAACCTTGAAATCGGTAGCTCCTCGTTCATGATTCTCCTCTCTAGTGGTGTTACTAGAGTTAGCTTCGGGGTGAACTTCTTCGTCTTCTTCACTTTCCTACGGGGTATTCACCATGCTCATCTTGAGCTTAGTGAGTTGGGCCACTTGCTTGGCCAAGTACTCAACTTGGGCCTTGAGAGCAGCATTGGAGGCTAGGGGTTCTTCGTTGGACTGGTTGTTGGAAGTGTTTGACATGGTGGTAGTAAAGAAAAGAATGTAAAGGGTATGGAAAGGAAGGAAATGGGGAAGTGTGTTGTATGGCCTCAAGGGAATGCTCAACAACAAGCTTTGGTACCAAATGTTATATCTAAGCTCAGGGTTTTATAGTTACAATCTCTTTATTTGCAGGGAGGTGGAGATAATCGATTGTCCTAAGTGGGTAATTGATTGTTGAAGGCTTCAGGTTCTTGGCAGTTTTTCTGGGAATTTTCTGAGAAGGAAGATAATCGAATATCGGAGGAGTGTCAATCGATTATTGGAAGTTGCAGGTTTCTAGGGATGGCTGATAATCGATTGTCTAAAAGTGATAATCGACTATTGAAGGCTGTAGATGTTTCACAAAGGATAGATAATCGATTTCTACTAGCGATAATCGATTATTTGACAGCTCGAGACAGGAAAAGAAGTATTTCTTTGGGAAAAACCAAGTTGGTGTTAAGGGATATTACACACTCTCATCTTAACTTGGGGTTGAGTCTAGCATTTAAATAAGATATCACACACTTATTTAAATAACTAGAACCTAAAACTCACACTCTAGAGAACCACTCTTAAGATATAGGATTAGGAATTTGGAATGAAACACACAAGTGAATCACTTTGATTTAAAAATGGAATACAATATGTGTTTCTACACCCATGCCTATTGCTAAATGTATAGGATTACATTGGAGGGAATAAGGGAAAATACAACTCACTTAAAATAATGCCCATGTGCTTATGTTTCTTGAGTGGAATGAAATCAGGGATATGGGTTGTTTGGTGGGGTTTTGGGCTGTTCCTGAGTTGCAGGAAATGTTGGGGGAAGGAGGGACGAATGTGGGGAGGGCTGAGGTTGAGGGCCAAGGAGTGGGGGTAAGGTGAAGTGGTACATTTGGCTGGGTATTTGTGGAGGTTTTGGGGGATTTGAATTTGGTCAGGGTTGGGAGACAAAGGGGTGTGTGTGGGGTGTGTCATTTGGAGTTTTGTTGTAGGTTTGTTTTGGGGAGTGGATGTATTATTATGACAGGAAAATATCCCTGGGTATTTTGGGTTATAATTTGAGTGTATTGGGGAACATAATGGGGACCATGATGGGTGTGTTTTTGGACACTTATTTTTGGCATTGTAAAATAAGAGGAAAGGGAAATTGTGGCTTGGTTTTATTTGGATTCCTGGGAATGGATTGAGAAATGTTGGGATTGGTTATTAAGGTGGTGATGGGTTCAGGGTAAGTATGGTTAGGGTGCATGGTTTGGTGATGATTTCATTCCAGATGGGGTCATAACACTTGGACATTATTCCATTGATTTCCTTAAGGACTTGAGGGTGATTTGTGGTGCTATGGGATATATCACATTGTATCCTTTCATTTCTAAGTAATAAACCATTGTGTTTGTTATTTTAAATCCTAATTTCTATATCTTAAGGTTAGTTTTCTTAAGTGTGAGTGTTAGGTTCTAGATATTTGGTTAAGTGTGTTATATCTTAATTAAATTCTAGATTGAACCCCAAGTGAGGATAAGAGTGTGTAATATCTCTTTAACACCAACTTGGTCTATCTTTCCCAAAGAAATACTAAGCAGCTATTCACCCTCTTTTCCCATTATTTTCGGCCTGCTCCTCTTTACTACCTTAATATCACCTTTCTCTCCACTTCTCCACTTAAACAAAAGACTGAAAATAGTCTTTTCCCCACTACCAATTTTCGTCCCTAATCTTTCCTTCCTTAAAATCCTCCATTCCTTGCACAAAACCTCACCAATATAGCCCTACAATTTCATCTCTTTACCTTGCTGTCATTCGTGCCTCTCTACCTTGGAGTTGGTGCCTATCATGCTCACTTCAGCTAGGGTGGATTATGCTGATGGTGAGGTAGTGATGCAGCAGCAATGGTGGCAGAGGAATCAAATAGTCGATTGACACTATAAGACAATCGATTAATAAGGAGTTACTCGAAACTAGGAACTTTCTGAGGGTAAGGATAATCGAGTATCAATTTGTTGACACTCAATTGTGTGAGGTTGTGGATTTTGAAGAAGAATCAGAGGGCTGAAATAGTCGATTATCAAGTAAGGATAATCGATTATTGATAGGTTCAGGATCAGGATTAGAAGAAAAGAAGGGAAATGTTTTGTGGTTTTGTATAATGATAAATCAAATAATATGTAAGAGATAAACACACTCTTTATATATATTTGGGGCTATTATATATTTTATAGAATAATAATCACTATTAAAGTATTAAATAGACTCCTAACACACACTCAAAAGTAGCCAACTTTAGAGATATTTCATTAGGAAATGGATTGAACTAGCTTCACACAAATTCAGGGAATACTTCAAGAGTAATATTAATAATGATAATGAGATGATCTTTACAGGTCATACCCCCACCAAAAACCTACCCATCTATTCCTAAGAACTCCGATTACTTCCATTGTCAAGAGATTGGTTGTTATGCTATTGATGAGAATTTGAAACCATTGGTTGAAAGGGAAGAAGAGAAATCGAACTCATCGAGACTTAAGGAAGCACTCGATAATGTGAAGGCTCAGACCCAAGAAGAACGTGAACTCATGATCATGGATTGGCCATTGAGCAGTTGGGCTAATCCAAATGAACTTGGAATCAAAACCCTCATGAAATCGTGTCCCATTGAGTGGCTCAACCTTGGAAGAGAACTACGAGTGGAAGTACGTAGATTTTCTGTATTTCACATTGACATGTCAGGGACACCTAATTTTGTGGATTCATTGAGAAACGAGGCTTCGGCATGTTTACTCCTACCCGTGCCCACGCCTCACCAAGGGATAGAACCACGAGCTCATCTCATTTTAGGTGAAAACACACCCAATGGTGAATTAGAGAAGAAGGATGTTGCTGCCACCAGATATGAGTTCTTAGGCTATGGCTTAACTACCTTAAACGTGCGAGTTGATGAGAAGAAATTTCAATGTGGAGCTATGAGCCAAGATGTGTAAGCCTCACCTCAAAGGCTATCTTCACTAACGGTACCTTGTGCCAAGTTTGTTGAGTTTTTGCAGGTTCCATGTGATAAAAAAACTTCCGAGTTTTATCATAAGACGCAGGAAAAGCTTATGAAGAGAAAGAAGTTGAAAAGTTCCATCCACTTTCAGCCTGGAGACCTAGTGTGGGTCTTTGTGCAAAGAGAGGGTTTCTCTAGAAAACGCAAGGCAAAGCTTCAACCATGAGACGATGGTCCATTTGAAGTGGTAGCCAAGGTTACTAACAATTCCTACACGGTTGCCCTTAGTAGAAGTGATGGAATTTCTACCACGTTCCATAAGAGACACCTCTGTCCATATGACGGTCTTGATTATCCATTGAGTTTGAGGGCAAACTCTTTTGAAGACCGGGAGGATGTTATATCCGGGCTTGGCCCTATTATACCCTCCCCCATGTCCCACACTCTCGCAAAAATCAAAGGACTTGCGTTTAAACATTATGATCCATTTTAAAGAAAATTCCAAGCCCTTCAACCCGAGAGGCCAATATAACTTCGGACCTAAGGGTTCCGCCAACCAACTCCCACTC